TTTTTTGGCATGCACAAAAAAATTCAGCTAAAAACTCGAAGTGTACAAGATTTTGTGGCCATTTGAAAAAAGTGTCCCCATTTCAAACGCTTTAATGGCTACTGGCAGCAAACCTGCAAAATCTCAAATGCTCTTTAAGGGGGTGTGAGTTCTCAAGGTTTGATGAGGGATAGGGGGCCAATATAAGGGCCAAGTACCACCACCCATCGCACGTCATGTGTGCACACCCCCCCCGGTCCCCCCATCGCCGGAACCACAGTGCTGCCGGTCAGATTCTCCGACGATGGTGTCCCGATGAAGAAAATACGGCACCAGCACATGCCCGAGCCCATCATGTGCTGCCGTAACCCTCGGTCTGATCCGATCTTAGACTGGGAATGAACTCCGTATGCTTAGACTGGGAATGAACTCCGTATGCCTAAGTCAACCCACGAAACGAGCGTGCTGTCGTGGATGCACAAGCCGTCCAGAGAGGCGGGATGCGCAAGCCGTGGATCGATAGGGTGGTAGGTGGGTTTAGGCACATCTTCATATTTCTGCCGTGTCAATGCCATTTTTCTGGCTTGTAAATTCATACAATGGTCCTTTAAGCCTTCATGTGAAGTTTCATGGCAAGACGACTCGTTTTCTATTTTTCACGATTTTTGAAACTTTTTACGGTTCGGGATCTTTTAAAATTTTTTCAGAAGGATTTTTGGCCCCAACTTGGTAGACGTGATTCTTGTATTTTTGTAGGCATGCACAAAAAAATTCAGCTAAAAACTCGAAGTGTACAAGATTTTGTGACTATTTGAAAAAAGTGTCCCCATTTCAGACACTTTAATGGCTACTGGCAGCAAACCTGTAAAATCTCAAATGCTCTTTAAGGGGGTGTGAGTTCTCGAGGTTTGATGAGGGATAGGGGGCCAATATGAGGGCCAAGTACCAGCACCCATTGCACATCATGTGCGAACATCCCCCCCGGCCCCCCCGATCGCTGGAACCCTAATGCCCTCGGTCAGGTTCTCCGGCGATGGTGTCCCGACGAAGAAAAATACGGCACCAGCACATTCCCGAGCCCAGCATGTGCTGTCGCAACCCTCGGTCCAGTCTGATCTTAGACTGGGAAGGAACTTTGTATGTCGTAACGGTTTTGGGACCGTCAAACGTAAAAATGAGTTTAAAATCGAGAAAAATAAAAAAGAGAGAGTCGCCACCAATCTTTGTTAGGGTGTGATTGGCCACCCAAAAGTTTATCTTTTTAATAAAACTATAAAAACGAGTTTGAAGTCTTATCAAAAAGATAAATTTCAGTCTGCGAAAAATCAGGTTGGGTCCAGAGTCGGTACGCATGGGAAGGATTAGCACCCGCACAACGCCCATAATTGGTACCATTTAATTATGCACTATTTTCGATATTGATATAAAAATGGTTTTATATTTGAAATTTAACATTAATTCCCTTCATTTAAAAAAAATTTGCTAAAATATTTATTTAGAAATATTGAGAAAATCTTTAAGTTAAATAATTATCTTAAAATTCTCCATCGTCTAGGCAGAATTTAAAATAACTCTTTTCGCCTAAGATTTAACATAATAATCATTAAAATAAAATAACAATCTTTATAGGAAATAATTGTTAGTGACTCTCCAACATCTAGGCAGAGTACCAAGAATTATTTCTCTTGGAATGTTATTTTTTTATTTTATAATATCACAAAAAAAAATTTTTTATTATTCTTTTTTTATTAAAAAATATTTTATCAGTAAATTAAAGAGAAAGTAATGCAATCAATTATTGATGATAACATGCTAATGTATATCATGCTAATGAATGTCATGTAAAATGAAATGCAATTTAAGAGTTGGATTCTTAAATATAATGAGACCACCCCGACTCTCCAACATCTAGGCAGAGCTTAAGTGCGACTGTTTATATTTAAGATCCCAATTTTATTATACTTTTTATTTATTAATCTTATTATTAATACAAATTAAGAAATCGTGTGAAAAGACTTCACGAAGTAAAATTTCTTAAATACCCCATCATCTAGGCAGCATTCGGGAACAAATTGCTTCAAATAGAATTTTCACACGTGTCCTTAGGATTTTTTTAGGACTTTGGATTTCAAGGATTTTGGATTTCAGGGTGTTTTGGATTTAATGGATTTTGGATTTTTAGGGGTTTTAGAATCCTAGGATTAAGAAATAGTGCTTAAGGTTTTGTTTTTTTAAGAAAATACGAACATCTCTAAAAATCCCCAACATCTAGGCAGATTTTTTAAGCAAGTTCGATTTTAATAATTTTTGAAGATTAATTAAAAATTTTTTATGTTTATTTATGAAAAATAATTAACAATAATTCCCCAACATCTAGGCAGAATTATTGTTTTAGAAAAATATTTTTATTCCCTCCAACATCTAGGCAGGGAAGATTATTATTATTATTTTTAAAGCATTTTAATATATTTTTTATTATTATTTGTTCTTAATTTTATTATTATTAAAAGGATTAAACATTTATTCTAACAAATTTATAAATTTATCATGCATAAATATAAAAATATATTTAAAATAACAAAAAATAATAATAATAAAAAATTAGAAAATTCAAAAAAAAAAAAAAATTTTTACCTGAACCGGACCGGTCAACGATCCGGTCAACGCTGGTCCGGGCGGTCTGACCGATTCGACGGTTGGATTGGAGGTCCAGGCGATCTGACCGGTTTGGCGGTCGGATCGACAGTCTGGGCAATCTGATCGGTTCAATCCGGTCCACTGGCGGTTCGTATGAACCGGTTCAAGGCTGGCTGGAACGGATCATTGGGTCGGGTTACGCGGATCTCAGGTCGGGTTCGGGTCAATGCGTGGATCCTTCTTTGGTTAAAACAGCGTCGTTTTGGGTTTTATTGAAACGACGTCGTTTTGGCTATTGATAATTTATATAAAAAGTCAAAAAAAAAAATTTCTCTCTTTTTTTTTTTTTCTGTTTCCTTTTTTTTCTCTCCGACCAACACAGGTGGCCGGCCGATCCTCCGTCGTTGCTGCGCCAGTCTCAGTCGGCGGTCACCGTTGACGTTGGTCGAAAAATTCTTCGAAAACACCAAAATGTTCCCCTCGACCTCCTGAGTCCGGATCTGAGGTCCCTTTCACCAAAAGCGACCTTGATTCGCATAGATCAAGTTTTTGAAGTTTTCGGTTTTTCTTCCCTTTCTTTTTTTTTTTTTGGTGAAACTAACGATTTCTTGGCTTTTACAGATGGCTCGGTGCTGAGGTTCCTCACCGTAGGCAAGGACTATGTATTTTTTTATTTTTTTTCTATTTTGGTTTTTTTTTTGTTTTGGTTATTTTTTTTACGTCGAAAATAGGGTCTGTCTGAGGGTGTTGAAGGGGAAGAATGGTTTTTTTTTTTTCGAGAGCTCAGATCCCCGAATTTTCGAAAATGGCTGGGGATTTTAAAGGGTTTCTACTTAGGGGGATCTAAGGCTGTAGGGTTGTTAGTTGGTGGTTATAGGGTGGCTGGTCGGGTAGTTGGTAAGGTAATTGGTCGGAGAGTTGGTTGGGTAATTGGTCGGGGAGTTGGTTGGGTAATTGGTAGGGGCAGTTCGGCGTCGTACCAACCCCTTGACTTCTGTCTTATTTCTGTTTTGTTTTTTTGTTTGTTGTTTTTTTTTTGTTTTTTTGTTTGTTTTGTTAAATATTATTATTATTAAAAATAAAATAAAATAAAATAGTAGACCTGGACAAAATCGGTGTCTACAGCTGCCCCTCTTTGCACATTACTGAGAATCAGAAATAGGACAAAGATAAAGACAACGATTTTGTTCGAAAATAAATTGTGTTATTTTTGGTTTTACAGAAAAGGGCTCCTCTCAACAGAGGCTCAACAACTTTAAAATCTCATTGAAAAAGCTCCTCTCAACAGAGGCTCCACAACTTTAAAATCTCATCTTGAAAAAGCTCCTCTCAGCAGAGGCTCCACAACTTTAAAATTCTCTCTTGAAAAACTCCTCTCAAGAGGCTCCACAACTTTAAAATCTCATTGAAAAAGCTCCTCTCAACAGAGGCTCCAAAACTTTAAAATTCTCTCTTGAAAAAGCTCCTCTCAACAGAGGCTCACAACTTTAAAAATCTCTTGAAAAAAGCTCCTCTCAGCAGAGGCTCCACAACTTTAAAAATTCTCATCTGAAAAAGCTCCTCTCAACAGAGGCTCCACAACTTTAAAAATTCTCATCTTTTTCAAATTTGAGTTTTCATCTTTGAACAAGTAAATCTCTCTCTTTTGAATTCCTTTGTTTGATCATTGTCTTTACCAAAATCTTGTTTTTTCATTAAGAAAAGGAAAATTTCTATCTTTGTTACAACTTCTCATGGATGCATGTACTGAGTGCTCATGATGCAATGCATGTAATGCAATCAAAATCATTCATTGTAGTAAAAAGGTTCTCGAAATCTCTCGCTTTCGGCTTCTTTTATCCGAGTTCTTATATGACCAATCTGTCTTCAACATCTGACCATAATATTTTTTCTTCAAAAGTCTACAACATCAATGACTTGTCATGCTTTTCTCATCCTTTTTCATTTGCCTTTGTCAACTTTAAAAGTAATGCTGAGATCTTTCATGTTTGTTTTTCTTTTCATCATTTTAAGTTCAAGACAAATAAAATGCAATCACATTTCTCTGATGGACAAAAATATCAGATAAGGATAAAGGAAAGGATAGGCATTATTTTCAAATGAAGGATAATGTATTTCCTATGGCTGATAACAAGTGTATGTCAAAGTGTTTGAGTTGAAATAAAGGTGTCAAAAGAATGATCACAAGATAATCATGAACAAAATATTCTCAGATTCTTTCTCTAAAACTAAATCAGATGACTTCCTTGATTATTCAGAGTTCGTCAAACTACACTTGCCCCTACATTGTGGGATCTTTTCTTGATGATGCTTTTGCTTCACATCTAAGTCGCCTTTTCAGGTTTTTTAACTTAGATAAGTCATCATTTTTTTCTCTTTTTTTTTTAAGCAAAATATTTCTTCACAACATCTGAATTTATTGGGGTAGGTAAATCACCTCCGTCCATTTCTGCCAAAATCAATGCCCCACTAGAAAAAGCCTTTTTCACCACATACGGGCCTTCCCAATTTGGTGTCCATTTCCTCGATTATCATGTTGATTTGGAAGGAATCTTTTTAACACTAAGTCTCCTTCCCTAAAGCAATGGGGACGAGTTTTCTTGTCATGTGCTCTCATCATCCTCTTTTGATATAATTGACCATGATAAAGTGCTGACAGTCTTTTCTTTTCTATGAGGCTTAACTGCTCGTAGCGATTTCAAACCCATTCTGCTTCCTCTAACTCTACCTCCATCAAGACTCTCAGTGAGGGAATTTCCACTTCGACTGGTAGCACAGCTTCCATACCATATACCAAAGAGAACGGTGTGGCTCCAGTAGACGTTTTGACTGATGTTCTATAAGCATGCAAGGCAAAAGGTAACTTCTCATGCTAATCTTTGTAAGTTTCAGTCATTTTCTCCAGGATTCTCTTGATATTCTTATTTGCAGCCTCCACTGCCCCATTCATTTTTGGATGATATGGTGCCGAATTACGATGGCGAATCTTGAACTGAGTGCATACTTCATTCATCATTTTGTTGTTCAAGTTTTTGGCATTAACAGAAATAATTGTCCCTGAAAGCCCATATCTGCATATTATCTCTCTTTTTATGAACTTACAGACCACAGATCGGGTCACGCTAGCATATGATGCAACCTCTACCCATTTGGTGAAGTAATCAATCATCACAAAAATGAATCTATGCCCGTTCGAAGCTTTTGGAGTGATGGGACCAATGACATCCATACCCCACATTGAGAATGGCCAGGGAGGAGCTAGAATGTGTAATATTGATGGTGGAGCATGAATCTTGTCAGCATAAATCTGACATTTATGACATCTTCTAGCATAATCAATACAGTCACTCTCCATTGTCAACCAATAATAGCCAGCCCTCATAATTTGTCTAACCATCATATGACCATTTGCATGTGCCCCACAAACTCTATCATGCACTTCTTCAATAATCTTCTTTGCTTCAGCTGCATTTACACATCTTAAGAGCACTTGATCTCGACCTCTTTTGTAAATGATATCTCCATCAATAAAGAAACTCATAGCCAATCTTTTGATAGTCCTCTTATCATTTTTAGTTGCATGTTTTGGGTATTACTGGCTTTTAATGTATTGCATGATATCATGATACCATGGCTTCCCATCAACTTCTTTTTCAACACCTGAGCAATGTGTTGGTACATCTTTCACATCCAGCTTGATGGGTTGGATTTCAGTACTTGCATCTATTTTGATCATTACAGCTAGAGTAGCCAGTGCATCAGTAATTTGGTTTTCCTCTTTCGGTAGATGCTCAAACTGAACTTCTTTAAATTGCTTAACCAACTCAGAGATGTATTTATGGTACCGAATCAACTTAGAGTCTCTTGTTTCCCATTCACCTCGTAACTGATAGATGACTAAAGCTGAATCTTCAAACACATCTAACACTTTGATCTTCTTTTCAATTGCTGCTTGTATACCCATAACACAGGCCTCATATTCAACCACATTGTTTGTGCAATTAAAATTTAATCTGGCTGTGATGGGATAATAATGTCCATCAGGAGATATCAAAATTGCCCCAATACCATGACCCAAAGCATTAGCAGCTCCATCAAAATACATCCTCCATGATTTTTCAATAGGTTCATTTTCTTCAATGGCCATCACATCCTCATCAGGAAAATCTAATTTCATTGGCTCATAATCTTCAACTGCATAATCAGCAAGAAATTCAGCTATTGCACTCCCTTTAATAGCTTTTTGAGTCACGTAAATGATATCATATTCTGAAATCATAACTTGCCACCGTGTTATTCTTCCTATCAATGAGGGCTTTTCGAAGATATACTTAATAGGATCCAGCTTTGCTATGAGCCAAGTAGTGTGATAAAGCATGTATTGTCTAAGCCTTCGAGCTGTCCAGGTTAATGCACAACACATCTTCTCTAATGGTGAATACTTTGACTCATAACCAGTGAACTTCTTGCTCGAGTAGTAAATTGCTCGTTCTTTCTTATTAGTTTTATCTCTTTGCCCCAGCACACATGCCATTGAATTTTCATGCACTGTCAAGTACAAAATCAAAGGTTTTCCTGGCATTGGTGGCACCAACACAGGTGAATTTGACAAGTATTCTTTGATCTTATCAAAAGCTTCTTGGCATTCATCATTCCATTCTCCAGGATCATGTTTTCTGAGAAGCTTGAAAATAGGATCACACTTATAAATGAGTTGAGAGATGAAGCGAGCAATATAATTTAATCTCCCTAAGAAGCCTCGCACTTCTTTTGAGGTATGAGGAGGGGATAAGTTTTGGATGGCTTGTATCTTATCTGGATCAACTTCAATTCCTTTTTCACTGACTACAAAGCCCAATAGTTTTCTTGATTTGGCTCCAAATGTACATTTGGCAGGATTCAACTTCAACTGAAATCTTCTCAACCTGTCAAACAGCTTTTTGAGACTGACTATATGATCCTCTCCTTCACGAGATTTTGTAATCATATCATCTACATACACTTCTATCTCTTTATGCATCATGTCATGAAAAAGAGTCACCATTGCTCTTTGATAAGTAGCACCAGCATTTTTTAACCCAAAAGGCATGACTTTGTAACAGAATGTTCCCCACATGATCACAAATGTAGTTTTCTCCATATCATCTCGAGCCATCTTGATCTGATTATAGCCTGAAAAACCATCCATAAAGGAAAATGTAGAGTGCCTAGCAGTATTATCCACTAGAGTATCGATGTGAGGTAAAGGAAAGTTATCCTTAAGGCTTGTTCTATTCAAATCTTGATAATCGACACACATTCTCACTTTTCCATCCTTCTTAGGAACTGGCACTATGTTGGCTACCCATTCAGGATATTTTGCCACTTCCAAAATTCGGCATCAAATTGTTTCTTCACTTCTTCTTTAATTTTTAGCAGCATCTCTGGTTTCATGCGCCTTAGCTTTTGCTGCATCGGCTTACATCCTGGTTTTAAAGGTAACTTGTGCTCTACAATATCAGTGCTGAGTCCTGGCATATCCTGGTAAGTCCATACGAACACATCTACATATTCTCGGAGCAGCTCTTCTAGCTTTTGTCTTTCAACTGATAAAAGATATGTACCAACTTTGACCTCTTTTTTATTCTCACTATCTCTCAAATTTACTGATTCAGTAATTTCTTGGTGAGGTTCAATTGGCTTATCTTCATGTTCTATTAATTTTAACAAATCAAGAGGCAGTGTATAGTTATCTGAATCTTCCTCATTATCAAGTTCATCAACATGAATTAAGTTTTCAAAATCAAATCCGAGATTAATGCCATTATTATCCTCATGTTCATTATTTGAGACCCTACAAAGGGTAATATGGAGAGAATATTGGCACACAAAAATGGAATGGCAAGAAAATGTAAGAAAGAAAAAGATGAAAGGTAAAATGAAGATAAAAACAACAGAAAAAATACGGATGCATCTTCTAAGTCTTTTATTAAAATGACAAACATAAACACACCATAAAAGATCTCTTAATACTCGTAGAATGTAATTAGGGATTTAAAGTTTCACATTACTTTTCCAAAGTTTTAAAAACAACAGGCAGCTCTGTAACTTCCCAATTATCCAGCTTAAAATCTAAAGGACAAGGGTACACGAATAGATTTTCACTTCGACTCTTCTTTTCTCCATCATCCACCATTTGAATGGCCAGCTCTGAAAATTTTTCCATGAATCCTGCACTTGGGGCTCCCGATAAATCTGGATAAATATATCCTCCCGAGTGAAAAGAATTATAGAGGTATGGAATGACTATCGGCTCTGACTCCAGCTCATATCCCTTAAGATTAGCTATCCTCTTATTTTTTTTCTCATTCACCATTCTTACTCTATCCCCTCTTGTTGGCTTATATCCCAAGCCAAACCTGTCTCTCTTTTCATATATGGTCGATGGCTTCGTGATTCCTTGCAGGTTCTTCCCAAGTCTGACTTTAGGTCACCATCCCATCTTGGTAAGCTGTCTAACTACAATTTTAGTAGTCGTAGATAAGTGTGGTGAATACAATTTAGATCCTCCAGCTATATATGTTGCATTGGCAATCTCGAAGGATCTATAAGAGCATTCTAAAGCTTCATCTATCGATTCCACATAAGGAGTATTTATCGGTTGAGTTACTAATAAATCTTTTTCTCCTGCCACACATGTTAGCTTTCCTTCAACAATGAATTTGACTTTCTGATGTAATGAGGATGGGACAGCACCTGCCATATGGATCCACGGTCTACCCAATAGACAACTATATGAAGGAGAGATGTCCATGACTTGAAATTTCACGTTGAAAGTACATGGACCAATCTGTAATGGCACTTCTATATCTCTCAGCACTTTTCTTCTGGTTCTATCAAAGGCTCTCACTATCATATGACTAGGTTTCATATAAGATCCATTAACAGGGAGTTTTGCCAAAGTAGTTGCAGGCATAACATTGATGGATGAGCCATTATCAATCAAAACCTTAGCCATTATATGACTTTTACATTTCACAGTAATGTGAAGAGCCCTGGTACTTCTTCTACCCTCAGGAGAAATTTCTTCATCATTGAAAAAATATATAGTTTGAAATCATCAGATTGCCAACAAGCTGTTCCACATATTCAACAGAAGCATTGTGAGACACATATGCTTGATTTAGCACCTTCAGCAAAGCATTACGATGTGACTCTGAATTGAGCAATAATGACAATAACGAAATTCTAGCTGGCATCTTGTTAAGCTGTTCTACCACGCTATACTCACTATGTTTTATTAACTTAAAAAATTCACCTACTTCACTCTTAAATACTGGCTTCTGACATTCTTTTTCTGGTGTTGCATCAAGATCACTCTGACTTTTATTTTCTTCCCCTACGTTGGCTTTTTCCTTTCTAGCTTTTTCTAGAGCCTCTGGGGTATAGCACCTGCCACTTCGGGTTATGCCTCCTACACCCGTTATGTTGGTAGTATCTGGGTTGACTATGACATCATAATCATACTTCCAAGGTACTGTTTTATCATTCTGATATGGAAAAGGGCCAGGAACTTTAATTGTCACCACTGGTTGAGAGACAGGTTTTTCTAGCTTTGATGTTGGCTTCTCATCATAATAGATAGTTACTGGTCTATACCCAAACTTATTCTTTGAATCAATGGTAGACACTTTCACCAACTCTTCTCTCTCTTGGTAAAACTCTATTCGACCTTCATCCATCAATTTTTACACCTCTTGACGAAATTGGTGACAATTCTCGATAGAATGCCCTAGAACACCTTTGTGATAATGGCAGCTTTCAATTGAGTTAACCGCTTCGGAGTAATTTTGAGGTTCTATCGACTTTAGCATGTCGGCTTTGACCAAGGTTTTAAACACTTTAGCCATAGGAGTTTTGACCTCTTCTATTCTTCTTTTCAAACAACTTGTTTGCCCATCAATCAAAGCATTTATTGATGGTCTGGTATGATTTGATAGAGGGTTCCCATTGACATTTGGAGTCCCTTGTTAGCTGGTATCAAAATTTAATACTCCTTCATTGATTAACCTCTGCACTTTATGCTTCAAAACAGTACAATGCTCAGTGGAATGACCTAGATTCCTATAATGATAATCACAATGTGCATTGGGGTCATACCATTTGGGAAACAGAGGTTTCAAAGGTTCAATAATAACAGGAACAAGCAGATGTTTCTTAATAAGTCGAGGATACAAATCTGTGTATGGCATGGGAATTAGGTCAAAATGAGGTCTTTCTCGATTGTTATTATTTTGTGAGTTTCTTTGATTGCTGTTTGGGTAGGTTGGTCGAGTAAATGGTCGAGCTGAAGGTGCCAGGGTGTAATTAGATGGTTAAAGGCTAAAACTTGATCTGGGTAACGGTTGTTGGGGGGCCAGATAATGGTATGGTTGTTGAGAGATTTGGTTTATGGTAGAGTAGTAATAGGGGTGTGGGTTATATGAAACAAAAGGATGGTGTGGGGGATTTGTGTGAGTGACAACATGTGTCTCCTGCTCTTTCTTTCTTAAGGTAGCTATCTTCTTTTCAGACCCTTCAATTTTACCACTTTTGATAGCGTTTTCTATCATCTCCTCTGAAATTACCATGTCAGAGAAGTTTTTCATGGCATTTCCCACCAATCTGTCATAATACAGGGCCTTCAGTGTATTCACGAATAGTATGGTTATCTCTTTTTCAGTCAGTGGTGGTTGTACTTGGGCTACTGCATCTCTCCACCGATGTACATATTCTTTGAAGGTTTCCGTCGACTTTTTCTCCATATTTTGTAATGACAGTCTATCAGGGGCTGTATCTAAGACGTGCTTATACTGAGCAAGAAAAACTTTGGCCAAGTTTTTCCATGAACTGATCTTATTTTGATCTAATTACATGTACCATTTAGCTGCTGAACCAGTCAAACTATCCTGAAAACAGTGTATCAATAGTTTGTCATTATGGGTATGACCCATCATCTTTCTACAAAACATAGTGATATGAGCAGATGGACACTTTGTCGCATCATATTTCTTGAAATCTGGGGTCTTAAATTTTGGTGGGATAACCAAGTCAGGCACTAGGCTAAGCTCATTGGCATCAATAACCCCATAAGTGTCATTACCTTCAACCGCTTTAAGCTTCTCTTCAAGCTGGTCATACTTGTCTTGAATTTTTGAATTTATAACAGGTTCTGACATTTCGTGAGATTTCTCTTGCTCAACAGGGTCGTCAAGATTTGGTACCATGATGGGATCGACTGGGATGGGTCCCGAATTGGCATTCAAGTGGGTTGGCTGCTGATTTGCAGAATGATTGACATAGGGGTATGGCTGCGCACTTGGTGGTTGTATGTGTATACCCCGAGGAACTTGAACCTGAACTTGAGGTGGAGTGAATTCAGGAGGGTATAATGGCTCTTCCACTTAACCTCATCTCCTGTCCTTGATACACCAACGACTCATTTTCCTTTCATTGATCCAATCAACAGTTTTCTTAATTCAGCCATTTATGCTTCAATTTTTTGTTATATTTCCATCACTCTTTCTTGTATCTCCTCTTGTACCCTTTCGACCTTTTCAAACTTAGATGTACTCTCTTCTTCCATGGCTCGAGTTTGGGAACGAGTATTATATCTATGCGAAATTGACGAGTTGTGGTTCCTTGGCTTTGCTATCCTTGAACCTTAGTTTATTAACCATGAATTAGATCGCATGATATAATGTCGTTGATATTATTGTTAGTATGAAAATGCATGCATGAAATGAAAGAAATGCAAATTAGGGTATTGTCTTGGATCGATCGAAACAAAAAGAAACTTTCATTAACCATGGGAGTCTTTACACATCATCCAATCATTCTCGCATTAAAGCCATAAAAACATTTGATTTGAGCATATTGCTCCCTAGCTTCATGCAAAAAGTGCAATAATCTTTGACTGTGGCCTTTGGTTGGTACAATCTCTCATTCCAATGCTTTCGCCTTTTCAACCATGTTGCCTGTTTTTTGGACAACCTTGTAAATTTGAGCAGTCAGGTGTTCGATGTATTGGTGTCTCCCTAAACTTTCTGCTCTCCACATCTCTCGAGCATCTACCTCCATATTACAAGTACGAGCCTAATAATCTTCTCTATCTTGCCACTCAGTCAAAATCTCATTTATGTGCCTCTGATTGCTTGTCAATTGAAGCTCCAAACTCATTAATTCATGCTCTAAGGCTTTTTTCTTGCTTTGCAAATCGGAGTTCTTGCTTTGTTCCCTCATTAGCTCAACTTTTAGCTTTTCACTTTCTCTTTGGTGCCTTGTTACCTTTTCAAAGGCTCCTGAAAGTTTTTCTTTCCATTCATGTTGCTCTTTGGTGAGTGTGAAGATCATTTCTTTGTTTTCTCGAGCTCTGTTCTTCCAATATTCCACCATGTCTCATAGTTCTTCCACATCCTTCTTGGATCCCTTCAAAGGTCTACTACCTAATCTTAATTTCTTATTTTCTTGATGCAGATCTTGCAGATCCTCTTTCAATACTTTTTGTTCTTTAGTCAACTTCTGTACTGCATCATTTTTCATCATCAAATCATATCTTAGTTGGTTAACCTGATCCATCATAGCCACTTTTGCTTTCTCTAACCTTTTCTTTTCAATCTCAAACTCTCGTTGAGCGATCTCAAGAGTCGACAATACCGATACTGAAACAGGAACCGATAACTTCTCTGAAACATCAGCTGGTAGAGGCCTAATTTCATTCACTCTTTTCATCCTCCACGCAAGGTAACCTTCAACAACATTATCTGCGAGTCTAGCTGGGCTCATTTGGTTGACTTGCTTCCATGCTTTGATGATTTCACGAACCTTTTTCATATAACCGGGTGTTCCATAATCAAACTCGAGTGAACCAAGCCTATGAGTCATAGGGATGAACTATCGTGAATCATATTGTCTTTGAACCATAAGGGGCGCGTAACTCACTGCCCCCCATATTCCTAACAGAGGTACCCATGACTCGTCTCCACAACTATATAAGATAGCCATCGGAAGCATCCATGGTGCCCTCCATGTTACATCTTCGCTAGTGAGCTTCAAAAAGAATGCCAACCATTGACTTTTTGTCCAATCTTTTCTTCATTCTTTAGTTATAAACTCCTTGATATGACTGAAATGCACGAAGAATGGTCGAAATGATGTCTTTTCTTTTCCCCAAAAATGGCTTCTGAGCCAAACAAAAAGTAACTGAGCACACCCCATAAATCGTCCTTCACCCTTTCTTCGATAAAAATTAAATGATCTAATAGTTTCTGCCAAAATAGTTGGTGAAGGGTTTATACCTTTATCTAATTGCTCAAAGAAATCAACCACTGATGCTTCTATATGTCCTAAAACCTTAGGAAATATCATCAATCCATAGATGGCCAAAGCAAACACATCCAACCCCTGATCGGTATCAATATACTTTCTTATGTACTCAAGTAGAAAAGCTGATGGAATGGTCTCAACCCCATTTTTTTCTTTCTTGTGCTTGTCTATCTCTTCAACCTCCATTTGCATGATCTTGGCTAATTTTTTTCTATATCCGGTGGTCTTATGCTCTTTCCAATAGATCTTGTCTTGATTGGTAGACTTTATCCGAAGTAAAGAAGAATATTCTTCGATCGTGGGAGCCAAGTCTTCTTGGTTGAATACAAAGCATCGATAAGATAGATCCCAAAACTGTATTGTGGCTCTCATTAGCTGTTCATCAACCTTCACAGACATAAGCAGTGCCACATCCCGTATTTCTTGGAAAAAAATTATTTTTTCTCTGTTCTTCACTGTTTCCAAATGGCTTCCAATTCTGATATATTATTCCGATCGAGATCCATATGCACTGACTGTGGTAGCATCGATATATGACCATCTACTAAGCAATCTCCTTCTTTCCCCTGAATACCTTCTGAATGGCTCTTAACCTCTAAGTAGCTCTTACACACAGACGACATCCTTTAGGTTTTTTTGAAAGTTTTTTTTTTTGGTTGAAGATTGGTCCAAAACAATACCCTCTAAAAATATGGTACCTATATGATGCATGCAACAAAATTGAAGACAATAAAACAAATCAAGAATGTAAATAAAACAAATAAATAAAGCTGAGTAAATGAATGAACAAGCATATTAGAATATACGTAGTGTCCTAATTTAGATAATTTTCTCGTAAAAGGGACAGTATGGCTCTATCCTAAAGTTGGACTTCAGGGTTCACTATATGTCGGGTTAAGATTTACATGTCTAAAGGTTCCCAGACTATTCCTCACATCATCGTCCATTATAGACTAGTAAGGCTCCTCGATCCTCACCCATTACAAGCTACTAACGGAACGGGTTCAATCTGAGTGGAAGTGTTTCGCTAGCAAATACGGAGGTTATCACCTCACGAGAGCGTAGCTACTTTACTTCCTCCTAAAAGGATGGAGCCCGGGTATAGAGCTCATGTATGCGAGTGAATATGCAAAGTGTGTGCAAGGTAATGTATTAATCAAAATAACATGAATAAATCAAAAACAAAATCAAAATGAAGTAATAACTAGCACATAATTTATTTCATTTATTAACATGACTGTTTTCAAAAAAATAAAATAAAAGAAATTAAATTAAATATCTAATAAAATCAATTAAATCCAACTATTATCAATAGTGCATAATCTAAATTTTGGCCTGACTCTCAAATAATTCCCCAGTGGAGTCGCCAAGCTGTCGTAACGGTTTTGAGATCGTCAGACATAAAAATGAGTTTAAAATCGAGAAAAATAAAAAAGAGGGAGTCACCACCAATCTTTGTTAGGGTGTGATTGGCCACCCAAAAGTTTATCTTTTTAATAAAACTATAAAAATGAGTTTGAAGTCTTATAAAAAAGATAAATTTCGGTCTGTGAAAAATCAGGTTGGGTCCGGGAGTCGGTTACGCGTGGGGAAAGATTAGCACCCCCACAACGTCCATAAATTGGTACCATTTAATTATACGCTATTTTCGACATTGGATAAAAATGGTTTTAATTTGAAATTTAACATTAATTCCCTTCATTTAAAAAAAATTTGCTAAAATATTTATTTAGAAATATTGAGAAAATCTTTAAGTTAAAGAATTATCTTAAAATTCTCCATCGTCTAGGCAGAATTTAAAATAACTCTTTTCGCCTAAGATTTAACACAATAATCATTAAAATAAAATAACAATCTTTATAGGAAATAATTGTTAGTGACTCTCCAACATCTAGGCAGAGTACCAAGAATTATTTCTCTCGGAATGTTATTTTTTATTTTATAATATCACAAAAAGATTTTTTTTTTTAGTATTATTCTTTTTTTATTAAAAAATATTTTATCAGTAAATTAAAGAGAGAGTAATGCAATCAATTATTGATGATAACATGCTAACGTATATCATGCTAATGAATGTCACGTAAAATGAAATGCAATTTAAGAGTTGGATTCTTATATATAATTAGACCACCCCGACTCTCCAACATCTAGGCAGAGCTTAGGTGCGACTGTTTATATTTAAGATCCCAATTTTATTATATTTTTTATTTATTAATCTTATTATTAATACGAATTAAGAAATCCTGTGAAAAGACTTCACGAAGTAAAATTTCTTAAATACCCCATCATCTAGGCGGCATTCGGGAACAAATTGCTTCAAATAGAATTTTCACACGTGTCCTTAGGATTTTTTTAGGACTTTGGATTTCAAGGATTTTGGATTTTGGGGGGTTCTGGATTTAATGGATTTTGGATTTTTAGGGGTTTTAGAATCCTAGGATTAAGAAATAGTGCTTAAGGTTTCGTTTTTTTAAGAAAATACGAACATCTCTAAAAATCCCCAATATCTAGGCGGATTTTTTAAGCAAGTTCGATTTTAATAATTTTTGAAGATTAATTAAAAATTTCTTATGTTTATTTATGAAAAATAATTACAATAATTCCCCAACATCTAGGCGGAATTATTGTTTTAGAAAAATATTTTTATTCCCTCTAACATCTAGGCAGGAAGATTATTATTATTTTTTTAAAGCATTTTAATATATTTTTTATTATTATTTGTTCTTAATTTTATTATTATTAAAATGATTAAACATTTATTCTAACAAATTTATAAATTTATCATGCATAAATATAAAAATATATTTAAAATAACAAAAAATAATAATAATAAAAAATTAGAAAATTCAAAAAAAAAAATTTTTTTTTACCTGAATCGGACCGGTCAACGGTCCAATCAATGCTGGTCCGGGCGGTCTGATCGGTTCGGTCGTTGGATCGATGGTTCTGGCGATCTGACTGATTCGACGGTCGGATCGGCGGTCTAGGCAATCTGACCGGTTCAATCCGGTCCACTGGCGGTTCGTATGAACAGGTTCAAGGCTGGTTGGAATGGGTCATTGGGTCGGGTTACGTGGATCTCGGGTCGGGTTAGGGTCAACGCGCAGATCCTTCTTTGGTTAAAACGGCGTCGTTTTGGGTTTTATTGAAACGACGTCGTTTTGGCTATTGATAATTTATATAAAAGTAAAAAAAAAATTTTTC